AAATGTAAAACTGGTACATAGACCAAGTCAGAAAAAGTGCAAGAAGGGAGCCCAAAACTGGAGTCTGCCTCTCTTTTTCTGTTCCAATTCCAGCACATTTGAAGTGTTGAGAACAGCTTGTAAGAATCTGCTGTTGTAAATCAAAGACTCACACTAGCTTGGCTTCTGGTCAAGATGGGAATTTGAACTTTTGCTTGAAATGAGTGACATCATGCCTGAGGCACCTTGGAGTACCTCTTCTGTATAAATGCAGTCACATCAAAATACTTCAGCCAGACAAGATTACTTATAATGTGTAAATACAATATATTATTTCCAAGCCACTTTCATCACACATAGCACACTTTCATTACACAGGCTCTACAATGGTTAACAGAATTCTATATACTGCATTATGAAAAGCCTATGCATGTTATCTTAATCCTCTATCACTTCGCTGCTGTGATCCAAGGAAACCTGAACCAAGAACAAAAAAGGCCCCGGATCTGAAAACAAAAACAAACAAGCAAAAACAAACACTACTAACAACAACAGCAAAAAAAAAAAAAAAGAAAAAAACCCTCAAACTTTTGTGTTTTCCAGCAAAGTTCACCAAATCCCACTGATCTTCTCTCTGGGCTAGTTTTCCCAACTTTTCACTTTCCAAAGCTTTCTCGGTTTCTTGTTTGTGGAGATTTAAGAAAATGCTTGAATCAATTCTAGTCTCTCTCTATAAAAAAAGAGTCCTGGAATCACAAAACAACATACCAATATGTTTTTCTTTACTATCACTTGATTACCCTACAAGCCCACTTCAGGCTTCACTTCTAACATGGTGCCTTATCAAAGTGATTCCTCAAATTTCTGCCAATTAAGTAAGTTGTACTACATTATTGACTACCTGTAATAACTGACCTGATGTGCATCTGATTACAGAGCCAATTTGTCATAAGAAATTTACCATCTTTTGAGGAGTCACTGTCCATTACGCTTCCTAAACGTTTTTTCATAGATGTGTCCCAACCCACTCAGATAAGAAATATGGAGGCTGATGTTAGAAGGCCTGTATGGGAACTGCTAAGTTATGGGCTGAACCAATGATTGAGCACCAGGTGAGAAGGAGTGGCTAACGCAGGGAACTCAGGTAAGCTACTGGAAGGAGGGACCTTGGGTCCACCTCTCCTTACTCTTAATTAAAGGTCAGCAGCTGAGGGAGCAGCATCTCTATTCACAGACTGTGCCCTTCACCGGCCTTTGGAAAGGGTGAGCCACTTTTTTTCTGTACTGCTTTTTAATAAAATCTTGACAAATATCTTTAGAAGTACGCTCATATCCTAGTAGGAGGCTCTATCATCACCTTCCGTTGCTGCACAATGCCCCTGAAATAATGACTATTTCTGAGGAATACCTTGGAAGTACTTCTAAGACGCCTTAGCAATACAGTCATTGTTCAAGGTTTTTATTAGACCTTACAGTTCTCTTTGGCAGAAGAATCTAGCTCCAATAACAAGGGGACAGGACAGTGCATATGTGCAGCAATTTCAAGCTGTCAGTTTATGCTGTCTCTTCATTGCACCACATAAAAATCAGACTTTCGGGAAGAAAAAAAATTCACGCTATTGAAAATCACTTCCTATTAAAGCAGTTCATGCCTAAATATAAACCACATTAAACCAGAACTTCAGCTAAGAGAATGTAGCAAATATTAACTATAGGTACATAAGGATCATTACCAAAGATTGAAGCTTTATAGACAGAGAAAATTTGTCCCGGTTCAGACTTAAAGCCAAAAATGGTAACGAAATGCAAGCTGGAGCATCTAAGCATCTTTTCTTCTTTCTGTTGATAACAGAAATTTAGAAGATAAATCTAATGCACCTTTAAACACAGCTGAACCTAAAGCTAAAATCTTTGACGACATTCTATCAGTTAATATCCCACATAAGAGCTGGAATAAACCCAAGCAACAGTTCAGGCTGGCTACGTAGCAGTTTGGCAAAACAGCCCCTGAGGTGTTTGCAGACAAATTGGATATATGTTGGCAAGGGAGACCTCACAGCATTTATGGCCAACTGTGTGTTAGACTGCATAACCACATGCACCAGTACAGGTGAGCTGCTGGAGAAGAGCTCTGCAGAGAGGGACCTGGGTGACCTGGTGGACAACAGGTTGGCCATAAGCCAGCAGTGTGCCCTAGTTGCCAAGAAGGCCAATGGCATCCTGGCGTGCTTCAAAAAAAAGCATGGCCAGAAGGTAAAGGGAGGTGATCCTCCCCCTCTACTCTGCCCTGGTGAGGCCTCACCTGGAGTACTGCATCCAGTTCTGGGCTCCCAGGTACAAAAAAGACAGGGATCTCCCAGAAGGAGTCCAGTGGAAGGCCACAAAGATGATACAGGGCCTGGAGCATCTCTCTTATGAGGAAAGGCTGACCAACCTGGGTCTGTTCAGCCATGAGAAGACTCAGAGGGAATCTGATCAGTGTCTATAAATATCTAAGGTGTGGGAAAGGGAAGAGGGCAGACTCTTTGTGAAGATGTGACTCTGTGTGAAGATAGGACAAGGGGAAATGGCCACAAACTGAAGCCTAGGAAGTTCCACACAAATGTGTGTAAGAACTTCTTGACAATAAAGGGTGACGGGAGCAGATAGGTTGTGAAGTCTCCTCCTCTGGTGATGTTCAAGACCCACCTGGATGCCTACCTCTGCAGTCTGCTGTACGCAGCCTTCTTTGGCAGGGGGGGTTGAACTAGATGATCTCTAGAGGTCCCTTCCAGCCCTACAATTCTGTGATTCTGAGAGGAGAACTATAATCCTATATATAGATACTATATACTATACTGAACTACCTGAAAAACTGATATTCAGAAGATAAAATCAAAGTGTCTAGAGAAAAGATAATGACAACAGTTCCAAGTCGCAGTGTCACAGGTATATATGTTTTTCTTGGTGGTGGTATCTTGAGGTCTTCATCTCTGCTGCTGTTTTTAGTGAATCTCCCTGAATACACCTATCACGATGTGGTCTACAAATTCCACTGAGCAAGATCAAAAAGCAGCTTTTAATAGTCAAGCAGAGAGGACTTATCCTTCCTAAGTCCCTCGTTTCTTCTAGAGCTTTCAGGCACACAAGAGTTTCTTTTTATCTCATGCTTCAGGAAAAATAAAGCTTAGACATGTGTCAGTATTGATATTCCCTGATTTCCAACTGAGTGTGTTTAAAAAAAAAAAAAAGCATTTGTCTCTACAACTTGCTTGCCCATGGCTTTGCTACCCTTCTCTTCATCTACCTGACTTCCTCAGGAAGCTCTTGGAGGCAATTTCCTCACTTCTTAATTTCTTGCTGTTGGCTATTTTAGTATCTGCCTGAGGGGATAACAGCAAAGTTAAGGATCGTGTAGCAGCTGTCAAGGCTTGCAGTCACTGTAGAAGGCAGTGGATACAGCAAAGAAGGTTCATGTGAGGTGGGAGATGGGGTCTCCTGGTTACAAGAAGTTGCTGAGTCATCCATATTAGCTGTTGCACAATAACAAAATGTCTCAAGCAAGCACTATCAAAGATAATGGAGTCCTGTAATTACCATATTTTTCTAAAATAACATCACTGTACATTAGTTCTAATTTTGATTTTCTCCATTTGCCCCTTTTTTTTTTTTTTTTTTTTTTTAAGGGTAAAAATGCAGCTGAAGGGTGAAATTATATAATGAATTGCATCTGCATTACTCTTTTTAAATAAGCTACTGCTTTAAAAATTGAGCTACTTTTCCTTCCATTTTTAAATTTTGTAAGTGCTGTGCTCCAGATCTTTCTATTAAGCAAAGTGTTTTCATCTGAGTCTTAAATAATTTAAACATCTCTTTCCTGAAATATATTCCTTTCCAGGAAGATTTTTTATCAATTTTATGCCCTCTTGAAAAGAAAATAAATGAAACGGAAAAAAACATTTTCTTATTCCATGCACACTGTTACAAGAGAAGCAAAAAAGACACGCAACAGTAATAGTCTCCATTTGACAGCAGGCACACACTGAGAAAGAGCTGTAATATCATTATTTGTTGTCTTAGCATCCCTCGTAACTCACATGAAGTTAAAAATAAAGTGATAAACAGCAGACAGTTCTTATTCCAAATTGATGTGAAGGAGGATGTTGTACTCGATGTCTGAAGCCAGCCTGGCTTCAGCTAGCACTTCTTCCCCCAGGAAAAAGGAACTTGGAGTACTGGTATCAGCACCCCAATACTGGAGACAGAAAAGTGAACACTGCGTATGTTCTCCTTGTGAATACTTCTTGGTTTTAATGTAGGCCCAGGCACCTGCTCTGACATGTCCACAGTTTGTCCTTTCCTTTCCTTGAACGGGGGACATTTTATTTTCTTTTTCCATCAACTACACCAAAGGCAATGGACAAAGAAGATAGCACAAGACAGTTCTGAAAACTGCTGGTACCAGCCTGTGGCAGAACCTAGTGAGTTGCAAGTGCTCTTCCTGAAGAAAAGGAGCTGCAAAGCCTCTGCTTTGCAATGTAGCAGAAGGCAATGTAGCAGCAATGACTCCATAGCCTGCATGACATACCTTCTCTTAAAAAAGCCCCGTCTTTCTACAGATCAGACTGTGAGAGTATCTACACCAACATCCTAACAGATTTCTCCTGGTCTATTAGTCAGAAAAATGAAGTGATATGTATAGTTGTTTCATGGGATCCTATTAAGCTTATTAGACAGAGGAGCAGAACAAGATGAAATGAGAAGGATATTGACACACAAATTAGTTTTCCAGCTAAATGGTACTACTAGTTATTTCTTCATTCTATAAAACGTGAAGGAGATCAGCAGAGACAGATCAAGTGTAAACGTTTGGAAATAAATGTAAACAGATGGAAATAGATTTCTATGAAGCATGTCATGCTGTGACTCCATCAGCTCCTTGTCATTGGATTGTACATATCCAACACACTGAGGAATTCCTGGGTGGTGAGCAGCCCATTCTAGTCTCCAGCCCCTCACAGATGACATAACTGCCCACTCACTGACTTAACCAGATGCAGAACTACTTCTAGGACTGCAAAATGCCTTCTTGTCACGCCAGTGGGATGATCTTGTGCCTTCATGCTCCGCTGTGATGACTCTCTAGTCCATACTCTCCCTGGAAAGCACTGCAGTGAACTGAATCACTTTTAGTTCACAATGACAAATCAAGAGCATGACATAAAAGAAAGAGATGCCATGCAGCTATTGATGCACCAATGAAGAGGAGACAAATACAACCACTAGATAGAGGCTCTGTTTCTTCAGATACAAGGACATGATAATATTCAAATATGATACAAATGCTTCATTTAGTTAGGAACCAGTGCTATTTCTAGAATAGTTAAGTAAGATTTTTGAAAGAAACTTAAGGCCAGAAGGGTGAAAACTGACTAAAAGAGTGCCTAAAAAAATGAAAAGAGTTGATGTTCATCTCTGTTTGAGATTCACTGGCCTCCGACACAAGAACTCACCACCAAGAAGGTGAAAGCACATGTAACCTCAGCAATGTGTGGTTGTGGCTACATAATGGCATCACTGTGATAAGAGCTGATTGGCCGCAGTGTCAGCAAACTGTCAGCATATGGCAAGGAGAACACAGGGCTCGCCATACCACCCTGACTCTCAGGCTGGTGGCAGGCAGAACTATTAACATGGCTTTCCCTTTGCTCTCAGTGTAGATCATGTGCTATCCTATATACAAGACTGACTACCAGTTAAGTTATGTTTGAGTTAAGAATGGTATGTACTTCTGAAAACCCTACTTAGTGGGCAGGGAAGATTAAGAAGCTACCACACAAAATCTGGAAGAAATACAAGTAAACCCAAACAAGTCACTAAAAATGGCAAAGTGATGCTGAATAGGAGCTTATCTTATCCTGTTAAGAGTCTGAGGTAACCTATGGCATTATGAGCCAACAGTGATCGAAGGAGAACAACCTATCCCCTCAGGAACCATGAGATTCAAGGGTTTTTTTTGTTTTTTTTTTCTTCAAAAAACACCAAGTTCTTGAAGTTTCCCTTACTGTACAAACACAATCCAAACATCTTCTAATGACCACATCACAGCAGGACAAAAATGTCTGATTCCTGGGAAATTAGGAGTTAGAGCCAATATTTGAATAAATGGAAATGGTTTTCTGGGGCATAACAACTGGACTTTTGTCAGCAGAAACTCTGAATAGGAATCTGCTTCCTTCTTCTTCTAAGTATCTCCCATGAAAAGTGGGTTTACACTTCTGTCCTAATCAGAGACAAAGTTATACCAGGAGTCATCCAGTAGAATGGCCATCCAAGCAAAAACAGGTCATGTCAGAATCTTACGGTGTTTGTTTAGCATGAAACATGATTACAAAGAAGAGGGACTGGGTTTGGAAGACATACTGGAAATACTAGTCATTCTGAGGTAAAGGACCCAACCTTTGATGGCAGGCAGATGATGAAGTTTGGATCATTTGCAACTCAGTAGGTACATCTCCAACAAAAGCCTGCCACATCCTCTGCTGCCTGTACTCCAACAGAATATTCCTTTCGTGCTGCCACAATTTACTTTCATACTAAGACTTCCAAGGAGACTTATGGTTCTCACTACCATTTGGTGCTTTCCAAATTCTGACCATGCTCACAAATCCTATGTGCAAAAGGAACCAGAAGCTGGTGGTGGTTGAAGCATCTTCCATTTGCAAACAGGCATGCATTTTATCGCATCTATCATTACATCATTTTACAGCACCTCAGTGTTTGGACCTCTCAGTGATGAATAAATAGTTGGTACCATCTCTAGACACTGGCATGATGGGCTTTTCTGTTGATTTTTTGCCAAAAGATATTTCTCCAACAAAGAGAATTATCAAGAAATAACATGCTGCTAGATACAAGCCAAAACAAAATGTTTTCCTGCTAGAAAGAACATAAGTCATCAAAAATGAAAGATGACAGAAAATCACTATACTTACTATATGCCGTGCTGCAAACACTCCATCAACTATTGCACAACAGAATGCTGCTACCACGCCAAAGCTGATAAACACGATGGAGGCTACTAACTGAGAAGAGAAAAACAGAATGAGAAATGTTTTCAATATAATTAAATAGAACATTTTACTATTTTTTCTAGTATTTTAGATGACTTTTTTGCCTGCTGTAAATTCATATTTATGTGGTTGACTGCCAATCATAGAGTAAAAAGAAAAAAAGCAGAAACTCTTAATGCTGAGTTGACAAACAAGTTTAGAATTAAGAAAACTAGCTCAGTTGTTAAGAGTTATTAGATTCAGCACAGATTTCTTTTAAATTAACTCATTTAATAAAACAGTAGCAGTATCTGTAAGGAGCACAGCAAAAAGCAGTGTTCCTGTTTACATGAGTCTCTAGAGTGTCAGCAATTCACATGCACTGATAAAGGCATTATAAGAAGTTCATACCTAGTATGTGAACATAGTGTACAATGCCACAACAAAACCACAGCTGGCTTTGTTATGCAACTCAGACTCCTAGAACTAGCACCTCCAGAAGGGCTGTGCCTCTCAGCCTGTCCCTCATTTTCAGTGTTGGCACAGCATGGCACAGCCCAGCCCAGCAAAGCTTAGCCATGTGCCACAACTACAGCACAAACACTGCACTGTCCTCATTAGCCAGCCAACTTTGTTTGAATTGTTATTAATCCTTTACCAACAGGACTCTAGATGACTTAACACTTGACCACTCCCTTACCAACAGCCAATAGATGTGTGACCTGTTAGTGCCTCAACAGGTGTTTTCCCATTAAAAGCTTCAGGCTCTCAAGTCCACAATTCATTGCAGGTCAACGCAAAGGGCTTGAAAGTACTTCAGAAGCTATGGATGTCCTTAGCATGGCTCTAGCCTGAGTGTTAGGAGCATGTACAAAACTCTTATCTGAATTACCTAAGTACTGTTTTTGCATGCCTAGACCCTGTAACATACCACAGGACCTCGCAAAAAAAACAACAACAACAAAAAAAGACTCTTTTGCATATGTTATGCCAAAAAACAGTATAAATTCAACAGTGTCAATAGGGGACATGCCACTGGTGACTTTCTCAGGAAGATGCATATTGGGCAAAAAAGAAATTACAACCATAGAAGTCCATAATATTAAGTATACAGGTCAAAGCAATATTAACATTTGGATGTAGGAGTTTTCAGTAAGTCAGCAAAAAAGTACAGCTTACTTAAAAGCAGAAGGCTAAAAAAAATCACAGCTTCTGAATGCTTTCTGATAAACCATTTTATTCTTTTGTTCGCTCAAGATCATGGTTTGTAATCACAGGTGGTATGAAGTGATCGCAGGTACTGTGATCTGAATCCTTGGCATGGGGAAGAAAAGGGCACACAGAAATGCCTGAGGCTGATTGCGCTGGCTGATGTTGAGAACCTGCTGCACATTGTCTGCAGCCAGCTCCATCCTGCAGTAGCAAGGCTGAAACCCTGAGAAACCACTGCATCACCTCTCAACCTCTGCTATCCCTTGGCTCTTGAGCATGACAGAACATGCCTTATATTCGGCCATCTAAAGGTCTTGCTGCGAAACTCATAAGATCAATGAGGGTGCGGCTCTCTCTGGCTTCTGGCAGAGAGCTGTTACCACTGCAGATTCATAGGTCTGAGGCAGGAACATACTACAGAACCTGACTGAAAAAGCAGCAGTGTTTAAAGTCCAAATTAAGTCATTATTGTCTGATATTCCTATCTTGTTTTTCAGGTCATAGCAGTCAGTCAAACAATTAATGGGCTTAGCCGGGTACTTCCACGCTGCCTGAGTCCATGATAAATGTACTGGAAACTGACCTCCAGGTGGCTTTTCATTTCACACATAAGTAACTTATTTGATGATTTACTATCCCCAAACCAACATTTTCTATTCAATGAGAAAGCCTAAATCACCTAATAAGAGTAAGCTGACCTTTCAGTTTCACCATGCAGCTATAAGAGAACACATAGAAAAGTGCATGGTAAAAAGTATCTACAGTAGTTAGGATTGACTTTGTGTTCCTCCACCATGTGAGCATTTTTCCATGCAAGGAGCTGCATGAAAGTCAGAGGTTGTCAGCCAGGTTCTTATTCATGCCTGCCAGCAACCACTTCAGTGAGTAGTCTCTGGAATTAAGAAGCTCACTTATTGACGGAAGCAATATTTATTACACAGCAGTAGTGGCAGAATGTGCTTCCAACTCAGCTGAGGTACTTCTGACTTCAATCGACTTCCATGTGTTTCAGATAGATAAAAGAAGTACACAGAATCACAGAATGGCCGGGGTTGGAAGGGACCTCAAGGATCATGAATCTCCAACCCCCCTGCCACAGGCAGGGCCACCAACCTCCACATTTAACACTAGACCAGGCTGCCCAGGGCCCAATCTGGCCTTGCATACCTTCAGGGACGGGGCATCCACAGCCTCTCTGGGCAGCCTGTTCCAGCACCTCACCACTCTCTCTGTAAAGAACTTCCCCCTGACATCCAACCTAAATCTTCCCTCAACTTCAAACCATTTCCTCTTGTCCTGCTATTATCTACCCTTCCAAACAGTTGAACAGATTTATATTCTTCCTCAAGCCTTCTGTTGCTTACTGAGAATGCAATAAACACATAAACAAAATATAAATTGAATTTATTTTCAAAAATGCAGCCGAGACAGCCAAATGGAGAGCTGCTGTAAATTCAAATGCTAATTTTCCTGAGTGGTGGGTGATTGCTGGAGCTGTGAGTTTACTAAGCCTATCTATATCAAGAAAGAAAAGCAGCACACTTCAATTATATACAGAGAATTTTGTTGATAGATAGGGCAGCAGTTTAAAAAAAAAACACTGATCCATCTCATCATTACATCTCCATTTTTAACAGCAATATGCCTTATCTGGAAAACTATTCATTATTCATAACTATCTATTTTAGCAGTTATTCAAGGAACAGTTTAGATCTTGCTGCTATATTGCTGTGCAGACTTCTCTACACCTGTTGTTACTGGAACATGTTTGCTCTTGGTCCATGTACACAATTTGATAATATGATTACTTACAAGGGAAACATGAAATCAGTTATTAAACAGTGAAAATTGAGCTATGCAGGTCTAACAATCCAAACCAAAGGCCAGATGTATTTCAGTAAAAGGGAGAACAAAATAACACTTAGAATGAGGGACTTTTGCACGTGCTATTAAACAAAGAGCAGCTACCTTCAGTCGTGTCACAGAAATATGAAAATACTCAAAAATGCCAAACTAGTGAAAGGTTGGACTGCTAAATCCTCACATGCCACCTTCTTTGAGAAGAGGTGTGTGTATTTTATTGCAAAAAATGTACCAGCATTGGAGAACCTCTTGTCCTTCAGTGGACACATAGCACATTCGTTCTCAGTCCTGTGCAAGTAAGTTTGCTGAAGAAACTGTGCCAGGGACAGCCCCTGGACATGGAACTGATGTAGCCACACTAGCTGCAGCCATGCACCCACTTAACTCAGATACTTCAAGTACCCAGGCACTCTGTGTGCTGAATCAGACCTGGCTGGGATGCTGTCACCTATGTGATACCATGAGACATGCAGCAGATACAGAAAATGATGTCAACCCTCAGAATAATCTAGAAGCTAGAACTTCACCAACTGTTTTCAATATTCCTGTGAAACATTTCTATGAGTTTCACTGGGTCCCAGGTCATAGTTCTGTCAGATACCTGGTTTCTTCGTGACTCTGTTAGTCCTTACCTGCCTTCAGACAAAAGGTGTGACTGTTCAAATAACATAAATCACTTCTACCACCAGATGCCTTTTGAGGTGCCTCATCCTCTCAATTTAGACTGAGTAGATCTGAAACTTCAGAAAATATTTGGATTTTTGTTTTCTAAATCACTTTGGTAGCAAATATATTATATCTAACAGACTGCCTTTGCTCATCCTAAATAGTTTTTCCATTGCACAGCCTTCAATCTCTCCAAGCATTCTGCTCTACAGCAAGTCTCTCTGTGACTTTTTTCCAGACAATTACCCTCATCAACATAAACTGAGAAGCACTACTATTACCCAAAGCGTTTTTCTCCAAGAAATGAGACCTTTCAAAAGGCTTTGCCACATGCAGGTTCAAACAAACATATCTGGAAAAGACAGACACATGCCAGTCGTAGGCTGGCAGTACATTCTCAAAAATAAAGTTTACTTCATGGAGCTTTTCACTGGTTTGATTTCCCTATGTCTCCAACCTCAGAACTTAGTAGAGGCTTAAAGAAAATTGCTGTGCTTTTTTTCTGTACACTGAAGATGAAGCTCTAGGAATAAATGCTTACAAAAACTATGTCACAGGTGCAAAACAGACAGCGACTTTTCACATGCGGCACAATCTCAGCCAGGAATTGCATGATGGCAGCTTAATAGGGCTGTAGATTAATATTAAATGCAAAGCTAATATGAGAAAACTCATTGCATTGCACTTGAGATGCTACTATCGATTAAATGCTGCCTGTGTTGTGAGGTGAGAGGCCATAAAAGTACTTCCAATTGTGAATTTATTTGGAAAATTGTTTTATTTGTAGCTCACCTCCTCCCACAGTTGCCACTTTATTCCCCTGCTCTTAGAAAAGAAGCTTTTCTTCTGTGATCAAAATTAAGCTCAGGCAAGGCTCCTACATGGGTTTTCACAATTGGGCCAATTAGGTTTCTCTCTACAGGAGGTGATGTGCTTCACAGATTACAGCCTGCCAACCTATTCTTTCCAAAGGTTGATGCTTCAGTAATAGCACTGCTGTAATTCAGGCTCACCTGGGGGACTGTCACACCACAGGAGAATAGGATTATCATGTTCATTATTCATTAATGCCACTTCCAGTCATAGTACTAGTTACAATGACACAAATTCCTAATGACGACAGACTTTTCTCACAGCCTAAATAACAGCTGAAAAACTATTTCCCAGATTGACTTGAAGATGAAGGAGGTAAGAAAAAAAACACAGTAAATGTCTGTGTCTTAAGAGCACCAGTGCCGTTACAGTTCTGGAAGACAAGAGCTGGAGCTCGGATCTCATCCACAAATGTAATT